TATAATTTCTTTAATTTTTTTATAATTTAATTTAAATTTAATAATAAAATAATTTATCTTTGGTTTAATAATATAACATTTTATAAAGATAATAATTAAGTATTCTGTTAGAACTCAATAATTATCTTAATTATATTTTAAATTTTTTATATTTAAAATGAGATATTTATCATGTATTTGATTGTGTTTATCTGCAGTTAGTTTCACGAATTCAGATATGGAGGTTTAATAAGTTGTATCTACGCACAATTTACTTGTAATCTTGAGTTTTAAGTAATATGCATTAATAAACAGTATTTTACGCATAAAAAGTAGTTTTTCAGAGTTTTTGTCAAATGCTTTATAATATAGTATAGATTATTTTTTTATAATTTAATTTAAAATCAATAATGAAATAATTTATTTTTGGTTTAATAATATAACATTTTATAAAGATAATAATTAGGTATTCTGTTAGAACTCAATGATTATCCTAATTATATTTTCGATTTTTTATATTTAAAATGAGATGTTTATCCTGTATTTGATTGTATTTGTCTGCAGTTAGTTACACGAATTCAGATATGTGATGAAATCGGATAGAGATGAAATCGTTTAGGGATGAACGAGTTTAAGAGTTTTTAAGAATTTTAAGAGTTTTTAAGAATTTTAGCCAAATATTTTATAAAATAACATAGATATATATTAAATGCACTGTATTCGGCTGATTTTTTCAGGTTTATTTTATTAAATTTCTTATAACAATAATTAATCATACTATTAAAATGTTGCAACAACACGATTTTAAAAGATATTTTAGTCATCTTGACAGTTGATTGATAGATAAATGTCACATGCCTCCTCTCTCCTACAATTTCTATTAATAAAATATCTATGAATTTAATAAAATAAAATAAAACTCATGAAAAAATATATATATATATAGAGAGAGAGAATTTGTTTCAAATACAACTAATCGCATTTGTACAACTAATGCAACCCAATAAATTGAAATATTTATGTAAATGATGAGAGTTCATTTATTATGATTTAGATATTTATGGAAGATGAATATGGTTCATTAATTATGATCAATACTTTATATTAGGAAACAATCAAAACTTTTATGAAATTACATATTAATCAAATTAAATGGACGGTTGAAATTGAGTTGTATTGGTTGTACAAATGTGAAAGATTGTATAATAAACAACCTCTATATATATATATATATATATATATATATATATATAACTTTATGGAATTGTTTTATGGGAAAATAAAAACATAATAAAAAAATTGTTGAAAATGAAGATACATAAAAGAAGTTTGAGTTTCTATGCCATCTCTAACATCAAAATATGCTTAAAATCATCATCTGAAAGATATGTTTAGGTTTTATATAATTTTCAAAATACCTCTATTTCTAAATACGAAGTTTGTTTAACGGGGCCTGTTGAAAAATTCATGTTTACGCATTCTCAATAGCTTTTATGT